GTGAATAAGGAACATCCTGCTGCTTAGTGACTGAGAGTCTCGTGAGCAGTGCCCACAGAGAAAGCCTTGGACTAGAGGAAGGGATCCACATGCTTGGAGCAGATGACATAGTCCCCTCCTGAGGTGCTAGAAATTCATGTATCACAGCACAACTCCCAGCACTTGGGCAGAGGAACAGCCCCAATGCGACAACTCTCTGACAGAGAGCAGTGTCCTCTGAGGTGACTCTGTGGGGGCTCTGTGTGCAGAGCAGTGATGTGAAAGGGGCAGTGGGGCCCAGGCCGGGGTGGGCTGTGCTGCAGATGTGGGTTTTGAACAGGTCAAAGGAGTCTGTGCTCAGATGTTCCTCTCCTGCATCACAGGCACCACCAACTCACACCCTGTATTTAGATCTTGAAGAAATTAACTGATTTCTGTATCCCTAACCCTAAGGAAACCTTTTTCCTTCATGAAAAAGGCAGTAAGTGGATAAAAGAGTTTGAAGTGGTTTTTTTAAATTAAAATATTTATGTATTTATGCAATTTTAAAAAAAGTTTTGCATGAAAGTGATGCATTGAATACTCTGAAGAGGAAAAAGTTGTCCCTAGATCAAATGGCTCATGGCTAAAAACATCTTTCTGATGACAAACTTAAGTTGACAACTCTGTTAATAGGATTAGGTTCATTAAGGGTCTACTTTCTCTTATAAATCTGGCCCAGATAGCATGGAGCTTTAGATTTTGCTTGGAAAAGGGGGCCCTGCTTAGTCCTGAATTTCATGCTTTCATTTACAATGTGTGCTGGTGATTGATACTGGTAATATTCGGGGTTTGTAGGCTACCTGAAATTACTTCCAATTTTCAAAAACACTTAATGGATTACCACAGGTCTGAGAGCATTTTTCTGCTGTAATATTGTATCACACAACTGAATTTTTTCAAGGACGTGGAGTGTACATGTAATAATTTCATTTTCTGCCTGATATATGTTTTCATATGGGCTGACAAAAACCAATAAATGCTGTTTATGGAGAGACAAATGCAGAAAAGCACATCCTGAAATATTCTTTGCTGGCTTAGAGATGCTGTCCTAGTCTAGAGGTGGGAGATGGGGCAGATCAGCACTGTGTGCTCGTGGTCAGCCAAGGGGACCGTGGAGACCTGAACACTGTCTCGAGCTGAATAGAAAGCACTACAGATGGGAGATTTTCCAAGCCACAGAGGCACTCAGCTCTGCTAAGGTTTAGTGAAGAGCTGGGCACTTCAGTATCCCAAAGGTTTCAAAACTGGCCCTGCTGGAACTGAAAGCCGTGATGAGGCAGTGGGTAAAAGCTGCTCAGGAGCTGGCTCAGCATATGTCTCCAAAAGGAAAACAAAGCCTAATGATATTTTACTACTCAGCTGCTAATTAAAATGCTGGTGTTTAGAGATTTAGACCTACAATCCAATCAACCATTTAAAATCTTGTACTTAATTTTTTTGTATAATTAATCTTTCAGTAATTAAACTCACCCTCAGGATATGTTTCCAAAGCTACAGCATTGCAAAAAACCGGGCTGTTAGGGGTGGGATACATCTGAACTGATTTCACCTGGCCTTCCTCTGCAAGAGGCACAGGACACTGGGAGGGGACTGACTCCACCTTAAATGCTTCATTGCAAGTTTGGATAGCTGAGGCTGCAAGTGCTGGTGTCTTTCTGCTGATGACAGTCCATATATTACTTGCTTGGGTTTAGAACTAATATTTTGAGCAGTTAAATTTATGTGAGATGGATTCTTTACCTTTCTCCCTTGTGATTAGTCAAAAAAGCACTGCAAAGGACTGATTGGAAAACAAGTGATATGGACTCACATTTTTAAATAAGTGAGATCTGTGGATGTTTAGTAAAGGCTTAGTGCTGAAGGCTGTCCTTGATAAACCTTTGATAAACAAGAGTTCTGCAGTTAAATCCCTGAAAACATGAAAGACAATCAGAAAACAGGGCAGCAAATATTCCCTCTGAACCATTAACCCCCTTTAAACATGGTAGAGAGCTATCCTTGTTTGTATCCAGGTGTTGTCAGGAGCAAGTTGTCAGTCTAAATGCTAACTGTGCTTTCTGGCAGGATCCAGAAGCTGCTGCAGCTGCTGCCTAGTTTTTAGGAAACCCCCAGGTATCTCTCTAGCTTGAAGATTTTGGTCTCTGTATTTTGGCTTTCCTGGAAATATCTGACAGTGTTAGCAGCACTAAAGAAAAAGGGCAATTTGCTTCTGCACTTCTTGGAATGAGATAGTGAAAATGAGCCTTCAGAAGTTTAGTCAAATGTATCTCTCATACAGGAGTTTTCAAGGACTTTATGTGCTTGTAGCTTTTTTCTTCCAACCTTGCATGTTGTCAAGATAAGAGCATATAGTAATGGTGGGACATGATCAGAACAGATGCTCAACTTGCCTAGTCACCTGTTTGACATCTGAAAGGACAGAGAGGGATTACCAGAATCTTTCTGTTTGGTTCATCTGCTAAGCAGAGAAAAAAGGTCTAAAGGAAGCAATGACTGGGGAAATCCATGACTCTGGACTCCCCATCTCTGCACTGAGCTGCAGGGGGATCCCAGCAATGAAGGGAGTTTGCCATTTTCAAAACTGAGTTGGTATTCAGTGTGGTTTCAAATTGGCCACCGAAAGCAGGTGAGCTCAGGAGTTCCAGGCTTACCTTGGGGAGTCTGTACTTTTCTCTCAGGTGAACCCTGAGACAGGCTCGCTCTGCTTTTTTCTGTGCAAACGCTGCATCTCTCTCCATCCTGGAAATCAGAAAAAATGCTCCTTCAGGATGCTAATAAAAAGCAGTCAGTTACACTGAACCAGCTGCTCAGCTGCAAAGAGCTGCGCACAGGAGTTATTCCCAAAGTTCTGCAACTTGTGCAAAGGCTCAAAAGGATTAATACCAGTAAAGTGATGCAAAGGGACCACACTTGTGCTCCAGGATTGTCTTCAGAACAGTTCCCTTGAGCCCTGGGAATAAGGAACGATAAGCCAACACTCCTTGTCTGGAGTTTGCACCTGTCCTACCTGTTATTGTTTACTGTGTCAATGAGCAATTGCACTAGGCAGAAGAGAAAAGTTCCCCTATTCCTTGGTAGTTCCACTGGGGCCCTTGCAGCCATAGCTGCCTGCAGAGCTCATGTGCTACAAACATGACACTCCTAGCACAACAGCACACTCAGGGCCTGTGTCTCTGGGCCAGACCAAAGGTCATCTGTCCCAGACAGCAGCAGACAGGAGTGGGCACCTAGAGAAAGGATTTAAGGGGAGGATAAGCATCCTGTATCAAAACTGCATGGCTGCCAAAAGTCAGTGCTGTAACGTACTGGGGATGGACAGTGGCTCTACATCCTTGTCTTTAGTAGCTCTGGATGGCCTCTGTCACCTGTGAATTTTCCAGGTCTTTTCTCCATCCATTCATCATTTCACAGTGGCAATTATTTCCTATGGCAATAAATTCCACAGTTTCCCTGTATGGGAATTATTTCGTCTGTGATTTTATGAAGTGTTTTCATTAGATTTAGGAACTGGTCTGCACAAATTTTGGTTACATTACTTATGTATTTATTTGCAAAACGTGTCTCCTTGAAGATTTTTGGCAACATTTAACATTCACCTTTCCCCCTCTCCATTTAATTTTTTCCCCAGTAGCATTTTCATGGAAATTCTATTGCAAAATTGACCTTATTCCAGGATAGGTGTTTTTTTCACATAAAAGCTACTCTCAAGATGAAATGTTGCTTTTCCTTTGTTTCCACAAAGGAGTTTCTGGGTTTCTGTCTCTAAAAACAAAACAACACCCCCGAACAAAAAAACCCCAAGAAACTCCACCCGAATCTAAAGCGTGAGAAGAACCCAAAGCCAGGTTGGTTACGAGTTCTAAACTTTGCCTGAGTAAGGCACTTGTGCTTGTCTGATCTCCACTCTGGGCAGCTGAGCACTCTGCAGAATCCAGAGAGCCCTGAAAGAGGAACAGGCTCTGAGGTTTCTGACACATGACCACAGCAGTGTGCACTGTCCTAGTCTGATTTTTCCTCTTTCAAATGTTCCTATTACAGTTCCTAACTACACTTTCAGGACTACTCCTGCCCCCATTCCTCAGTACAGTTCAGCATGTAATGGACCCACTTGAAAACATTATGGAAATAGTTTTTTTCCCAGGCATTTCCCTATCCCAGGAATCCTGTGTTGCTTCTCATTCTCCATAAAGCATCTTCCTTCCAGCAGGTGGTTATTTCTCTTCTAAATATCTCTCAAAAGACATAGCAAAATGTCCTGTCTTTTATTCCAAGCCAAGAGATACCTATTCAAGGTTTCATGATAGAAGTGTCTGGTGCTAAATACAGACCTGGATACCTCAAATTCCGTCAGTCATTAACCTGTCACCTATAATCATCTTACATGAAGGATTTACACAACCATTATGTAATTGACCATTAGAGGAACAGATGCATTTGAGATTTAAAAGTCAATCGTTTTATTTATAATTGTGCATGATTTGAACTCCTACACACCAAGTTCTCCATTTCACTTCTGTTTTGGAATTTAAACACAGCAAAGGGTAAAGGTTGCATTTACAGACAAAACTGAGATTTAATCAGTTTAAATGTTCTGTTTTATTTAGTAGATTTTAGAAAAAAACCCCAACTTAAAAACTCTGCTGTAGATAAACATGATCCATTTAACATAGCGCTCAGTCCTTTTTCATGTCTGCCATAATAAATGTGGACAGAGAAAAGATTATGTATTGAAAGTGCACTCCACTGTTCTAGAACAAATCCTATACATTTTCTCATTAAATCCTGCACTACAAACAGCTAGGAAAATGCTCACAGATAAAGTAACATCAGCCAGGAATGAGTCTGGCATATCAAATTGTGGAGGCAGCAGGAAAGTGTAGGAGGGAGTTGCAGGACTGGGCAGGGGGGAGCAGGGGGCAGGAAGGGGAAACAATATTTTATCATTTCCAGTTGGTGAACTTTTATTTTGGAAAGTCTTTTAAGCAAAGATTCATCTGCTTTAAGAAAAAAAAAGTGAAGAGCTGAATGTTTGGTTTTTCCTTGGGTTATTTTAATCTGCACAAAGTTACCGAGAATCAGCCCCACACTGATACTGATAGTAAGGGAACAGGTACTCACTTCTCCTCAACCATTTGCTTTTGATATTCCTCATACTCCTCTCTGGTCATTCCTGCAGCTGCTGCTGGGTCAGAAGGAGTGCTTTCTTCTTTGTTTTCTTCCCCTCCACCTCCAAGTCCCAAATTCTTTACCTGGTCGCTCAACATACTTTTAATTAGAAAGGCCATCTTCTCAAAAAAAAGGAGCTATAAGCAAACAGCTACAACAAACCCAAACCAAAAATGTTTTCAAACCAAACAATTGTAAGCGAGAGAGTTTCTAGAGCCACATCAGCTCTTCAAGGGCACAGTGCTAGTGAAACGTGAATGCCAAAACCAGTTTGTCAGCCATAATCTGGATTAAAGAGTGAACTCCTTAATATCTAGAGGCAGATGGTTCAGATTACTCCAAAAAAATCATTAGATGCAGATACCTACTTTATATATTAATACCTTCAGCTAACTGTGCGCACACAAAAATCAGTCGTAGTGTGCAATAGCATTCTGATGTCTTCAGCCTCAAGAATCTTTCTCACTTTCACAGAGATCAAAACATTCCCTGGAACACAATGGATCTCAATTAGAAACCTGCTTGTCTAAATGGCCACGGTGAAAGCATAAAATTTGAACTACTGAGCAGAAAACCCTTTTGTATGAGCACGACGAAATGAGACTTGAAAACCGGAATTCTTCCTTAAGCAAAAACCTGATGCTTTTTATCCATTAATATTTTATCCCATTGGACACAAAGTACATGGAATGTTTTTTCTCCGTCCACTTTCCCTTGCTTGGTTTGTCCCACAGATGAAAAGGGCATTACTGCTATGATTACTTCTTTTTCAAGTAACCCCCAAAAAGCAAGTCATATCTTCCTACTCGGCTTTCCTTCGAGTTTGTCAGCTCCTGCCCAGGCTGTCTGCACCCACATCACTGCTTTGGTGCTGCACAGAACAACTACTGTTTTAACTGTAACTGTGGGTAAAGGAGAAATGATTCTGTGTGCTACGACACAGTCTGGACACCTTTTGGCTGTGGATTGTTTCTGCAGGTCCTCATCTTTCACGCTGTTAGTCACATCATTAGCCTCACAGGCCTATTCAAGTGAAGATTTGCGGGATCTGCTACCGAGGTCATGGACTATTTTGGGAAAGAAAATCACCTGCTATGTCTCAAAGTTCATGGTTTTGAGCATTTATCCTACTATGAGTGACTGCACATGCCTTAATGAAACATTCTGTAATTGTGATTATCTAAATGGTTCTCCCATAATTATGAGCACTCTCATAATTTCACTGAGAACTGAGAGATGCGAGGATTCCAGTTTGCTTAATGCCTTAATCTATATTACAGCCTTTCTAATTAAAGCAGACCTATTGCTACCAAAAAAAAAAAAGATCAGGCAAAAGGCAGGACATTGTGTAATCCTGGATGATTAGTGATTGAGAGAAATATTGCGTTTCTTTTTGAAGTACACTCAGGAGCATGAGCTCGAAGTAACAGTGAAACTGCAAACACCTAGAAAGCATTTTTCTTACAGGAAAACTCGTTTTTAGAATAGCTTATAGGAAAGCCCAAAGAAGAGAACTTGGCTCTGCAACAGGCCAACCACAAAGAGCTACACCTAAGCCTGACAGGGACCTCAGCACAAAACTCCCACAGGCAGGTGAGCATCCAAACTCCCAACACCCAGGCACAGGAGACACCCCAACCACACAGTGCAGAAGCATCTAGATGTCCCTGAGCAGCCCAAGGCTCTGCCCCTGCTTCATCTCCCTGCAAGAGACTCGAGTCAGGTGAGAGATTAGAAAAACGTTTTCCCTGCTGTGGTGTTGAGGCACTGGAATATTGCCCAGGGCGCTGGTGGAGTTACTGCCCCTGGAGGTGTTTCAGAGCCATCTGGATCTCATTTAGGGTTTAGGGGTTCCAGCAGTGACAGGTTAATGGCTGGACTTGATGATGTCTCCTCCAACCTTGATGTTTCTCTGGTTCTAAGAGGCTGCTGCCTTTCCTATCCACTGGAACATTAGGTCACTTGCACATAAAGAGAGAAATACGCATTTTAAGGCTTTCTCAGCTTGAACAGATTCAATTCAATAGGTTCCTCTCCTCCACCTATTATAAGAATTGCTCCTGGCTGGGGGAAAATGACAGCCAAAGTGGGAATTCAGCCTTGGAATGCTGCTAACTCCCCAGTATCAGGTAGGACTGACCTCCAAGTGTTCAGGATGTGAACAGAGGGTAAAGAATGCTTGGATTTCATGGTCATGTAGCAAATTCAAAGAAAAAGCTTACTAAAAATATGCATCTTTATTCAAATAAGGTTATCTCTGAACTCCAAGTATCAATTTACATTAGTCAGAAACAAACAGGAAAATGTCAGCTGTTTGAATTTAAAACAAAAACCACAACAGTAGACAATTTTCGGTGTTACAGTAATTGATCCATTGTGAAATGTTGAATTTTCTTCAAACAGGAAGCTACAAACCATAGCAGGCAATTTACAAACCATCAAACAGGGAATTTACAAACCACATTGTGCATTTCACTTTTGAAAGATTCAGGTGTGACCATGTATTTAATATACTCTGATCGGTACAATCAGTTTCTCTTGTCACTGCCAAATAATCTGCTACTTATCATCCACAATTCAAATACACTTAGTACACTTGTTCTTCCCCAAATTTTCAAGCTGGATTCCAAGGTGTCTTTTTCTCCTGGTTGTGAAATCTCACTTGGTAAGAATCAAACACACCATCAGTACTGAAAGAAACTTCTGGGAGCCATGACAGGAGGCTGTACTGGCTTACAGATATTCCTAAAGTCCAAATTTGCTGCTATCCCTTCCAGAACAATCAGGACAAAATCTGAGCTGGGCAATTGGGAGATTTCCTTTGATCCAGTGAGCGATGAGGCAATTATGGAAGTTCCAAGGAGACATAACTGTGAAATGAAGCATGAAGCAAAGTTATCAGTTGTCTGATGTTCCACTTTAGACCTTCTGCTCCCTAATACAGAAGTTTCCTACTTGCACGTGGGAGACAAGTCAGATCTAGCAGCAGCATAACCACACAAGCTGAGCCTTGTGCTGCAGATACCACTGTAGGCTTCAAGTTCTCCCCTAGACATCATCCCCAGCCTTCTCTTCTTCCTAACCAAAGGAACAGAAGTATGGGCTGCTCCAGCTTTGGAACAAAGTTATGGCTGGATAAATTCACAGTACCAGAAACACAGGCTTCCTTCAACTGATGCATCAGAGCTGCTCCTCATTATGCCAGAGATATGCACCTACTTATCAACAGAGACTTGCTAGCCTTCCTGCACAAAGGGTCTGGCAAAGCCTGCTGTGAGGAGCTTCAGATGCTGCACCCAGGCAGGAAGGCCTGCAGCTGACAGCAACAACAGTGGACATTTTCAGAACAAGTTAAGAAAATACATCAAGTTTAGTTAGAAGAGTCAGGGTTATAACAGTTGAGACTCAAGGCACCTGTAAATATCTGCTGGTGTTGAAAGAACTCAATAGATAAATTCCAATGTGTTGCTCTGGCTTATTTGAAAAGTCTTCCTTTCATTGATTAACTCTGTTTATTCAGCAAGACACAGCAGTTTCTCCAATTAGCACAGCAAAAGATTCTCCAATTTAGAAATGAATCTATAAAGCAACACCAATTACAGTATGCTACATACTGTAGATGTGCAGGCAGTATTTTTTCTTGGTATAGCACAGACATTCACTTTTTGGACACTGTATTTTAAGTAACAAAATGCATTGCATAGATATATCATTTCTCCAAACTGACAGGCACAACACTGAAATGTTCTTCTTCATTACAGTGAGTTGGCAGCATGTGTAGCACTCCAAGGGAGTAGACTGTAAAAATGCAGTAGTAGTATGTTGTATTCCAGAGAAGTTTTGCAGATGCAGACAAACAAATTAAGACTTAAAAGTGAAATATCCTGATGCATTTGCGTATTTTATAGGATTTGAAAAACCACAAAAATACCTATTCTAACTCTACACACAAACGACTCAAGGACAAAGTTACCACAGATACGTAAACAAGGCAAAATCAATTAATTTCACATTCCTAAATTGGGCTCTGCTTTGTTTCTTGTTCACTTGATAAACAGTATCAAACCCACATGGTCAGTCTTATGCCTTTGATATTAAAGCAGGAATTGACACAAAATACAGGTTCTACAACAGCTTCTGGAGAAACAAACATGTCTGAAGCAACAGCTTGTGCAGAAATGGGCTAACACAACAGCTGCAGGTTAGAGTACTTGCCATGTCAGGATTTAAATCAAAGGATCTGTACTACATGAAAGACACAAGGCTGCTATATAAAAGACATATTCATACACTAAACATATCCTTAATAACATCAGATTTGAAGAGGTATAAAACAATACTCTTTGCTGGAAAAGTTCCACAAATCTCTGAACAAAATTACAGATATCAAACTACGAAAAAAAGAAATCAGTCCCACAATACACTGGAAGAAACTTCTTGATCACATTTTCTCTCACTGCCTGAAACCAAAACCCAAAATAAGGAGATAAGCCTTTCTTTGCATGCTCTGTGTAGTTTGTTTTCTGTTTCAGGTACCAACAGTCAGAGTCTTGAAGGCCTGTCTTTGTGTCCACGTATGAAAAAGCATTTGAGTCTATTTCAAGAAGAGCCAGAATTAACTAAAATATTCTTACACTGTTAAATCCAAGTGGTAAACAAATGAAATGTTTATAACAAATATTTACCCACCAAAAACAAACACAGAGGGAGAACAGTTGTTTGGAGTTTAGTTTTTTTTTGCCTTTTTTTTAAAAAACCTGATATGTCAGGACACTTAGTAGCAAGTTTTCTGCACAAATCATCCATCTGCCATTCACACTACGGACAGCCACCAAACCTGAGTGCCTCTGTCCCCTCCTCTGGAATCTTTCAGCATTTATGAGCAAGTTAGCTGAAAACACACACCTAGACAGGGTCTGACGTCTTCCCCCATCTAGCATTTGCTCCACTGCTTCCCAGCCTATTTTTAGCTTCAGCATCAACTGTTTAAATGAGAACTCATTCTGTTTAACAAAATTCAATAATTTACAGTATTGAAGTATATTGAACACTAAATTTCCCTCATTTACAGAAGAGTAGGATATTCTGTGCATACATACTGCTGTTATGTACACACAAAAGGAACAGGTCATCAAAAGAACTTTTTCGCTGCTGCTTCTTGTTGGCTCCTGAAAGAAAATGCAGAGAAGAATCCATCAAGTACTTACAGCATAAAACTAGCTAACTGGTTTAAATAAATATTTCATTTATTTGAGGATTAAAAGATTCCATTCCTTATCAACAGAGACTTAGGGAAATCAAATGTAAGTCATATCACAAAAACAAGATATAATTTTTTCTGTTTACAAAGACATCGGTAGCATTTACTATAGCTCCAATTTTGCATCAGACACAGAAGGAAAAATAAACACATTCTGGACAGAAGCCAGAAGCTGTGAAAGAACATACAAACTGATTTTTACGATACTTCTAACATTTTCTTAAGCTTCTCAGTATCTGATTGGCCTAAAGATCATCTTAGAAAAGGAAACACAAGCGACTAAGCAGTGAAAGAATTGACTTGAAACGGGATTTCCTTTTCCCTCTGGCACAGAGAATATTTATATTCTCAGTGGGCACAGTCACTGTGGATGAACCACACACAGATGCCAGAATCACAAGGGAAGGGGACCAGCTTCCCCCTTAGCCTTGGAAGCAGTGGCTCCAGCTGATGGCAAAACACTGCCCAGGCAGGAAATGAACCCTCTCCATGGTGGAGAGAAGCAGACACAATAAAACCCAGTGCTATCAGCAGCACTGCTCTTTATCAGTACCAGCTATCCTTCCACAGAGGTAGCAAACAATGTTTTCTCTTTGAAGGGCAGCACAGCTATTTTGGTTCCTCCTCCAGGTTCTGACAAGTGTGTGTGAGAAGCAGGAGGGAAGGCTACCAAGTACGTTATCCTTTCCATCGCTGCAAATTTCATTTGAACATTACGACATCACAAGGAGGAGGAAGAGAACAGGAAAAAAAAATCGTGTTTAGTTAAAAAAAAAAAAAAAAAGAAGAAAAAGAAGTCCATACACTACCAATATCACATGTGGGAGAGGGATGAAGGGATATGTACCACAAAAAAGGTTCACTGAGGCATTTGTAAGGTGGGATAAGTAGTTTGAAGGTACACATAACCAAACAAAATCAAATCACATCAGAGTTTGTTAAGGTACCAATAAACTTCAGTAAGTCCAGCAGAAGACCACAAGGATGGTGGCCAAGAGCTGAAGCCTCAAGAGGAGAGGGAGAGAGAACCGGGCTCGTTCACCCCAGCAAGAAAAAGGCTCCAAGGGGCCTAACAGCAGCTTTCTAATGCCCACAGTGTGTTATGGAGGAGACAGGCACAGCTTCTTCACAGCGGTGCCCATTGTAAGAAAGAGACACAACAGTCAAACTGAAACAGGGCAGGTTCCCACTGCACACCCACGGGCTGAGTGGGAGCAGAATAAAACAAATTGCATTGTGATAATTAAACATTTCCAATGGGGTCTGGAACAGTGGTGAAGTTTATGCTCCTCGAGACCTGACCAGTCTAAACACCAAGTGACCTTGTCTGAGTTAAGTGTCCACCCTGCTTTGAGCAGAAGGTTGAACCAGAGAGCTCCCAAGGTCTCTTCCAAGCTGAATGATGGCTCATTTTAATGAAGATGAACATAGTCACTGCAATGGCACTGTCAGTCAGAACTTCTAAAATCATTTGCTCTGCTGTCTTTAAACAAAACCATACTCACCTATACACGATATACCCAATGAATAACACTGTTTGCACTGCCACAAATATGAAGAAATGCAGTGTAGATAAGCATGATGGAAATGGAGGCAGCTCCGGACACTTGGATTTCTCACTAGATGGCTAAAACCAAGAAAAGCAGTATTGGAGAAAAGAGCCAACAAGATATACCATCAAAAGACTTAGATGTAAGAAACAAAACAAGGTCTTTTCAACCTGATCTAAAAATCAGAACACAAGCAGAAAACAGACAGATGTGGAAAATCATAATTTTACTCCTCATCTCACTTTCCCCTTTCAGTTTCTCTGATAAACTCATGGATGTTAAATTGAGGGTTATATGGGAAAGAATAAATAAGTGTGGCAAATTAACCCAGAAATCAAGAGCCTTCCATGGGATCATAAGCTAATTCAGCTTAATTGCTACCTAGGCTAGACTAAGGTGCTCCTGAACGTGAACACAGTCATCTTTCACACTTAGAAACCTTAAGCAGAGCCTGCCCAAGTTTCCCCTGATTAAAGCTCTCCCTTCTGTGCAGAAGCAATACAGAATCTCCTCTGTATAGTGCTGTTAAGTAGGGGGACAAACACAAAAAAAAGCACCCAGAAAACCTAATTGCTTGACCTTGTTTCCACAGGAAATTAGACTAAAAATCATGCTCTTTGTGCAAAACTTCTCATCAAGACACAGATCATGCAGTTAGGTCAAGGCAGTGCAGTTTTAGCGCAGCAGCTTAATGAAGGATTAATTGCTCCGTAAATTGCATGCTGGCTCATCCTAGCTTTTCACTGACAGCCAAATAAAGAAGTATTACAGCCATGCTTTACACTACCAGCACGGAAATTACCACATTTCGTTGTGCTAAGTGCTCAATGTCCCTCTTGACCAGATGAAGGTGCTCTTTGATGTCGTTGAAGTGCTGAGCTGTCTCATAGGTGCCTGCAGCAGGGCCAGGATGTTGAGCCCCACTGATCGACCTCAGGCTATCAGCCACGGAATTCCTGCAGCAAGGCAAGCAACAAAACATCCTTCAGTGCAGAGCAGCTTTCCTACAAACACAGTTACTCTGGGCACCTTCTAGCTCAACAAAATTAGCTTGAAACACACAGCTGCCCGAAAAACATTTTTTCTACTTCTGCAGAACACCTATCCAGAAATAATCCCTTAATCAAACTGTGATTTTTAAAAACAGTTAATTCAGCAGTTTCCATTTGTGCAGTGCACCGTCTCCCAAAGTCAGGCTGAGAACAAGATCTGGCAAATATTCTATTGTTAGACATCTGCTTTGCCTGACTGATGAAGTCTAAACCAAGAGTTTTATCTCAGGCTCTTGCCAAGGCTTTAGGATAAGCAGAGTTTAACACAATCTTTAAAGAAAACCAAAAGCTGTTTGAAAAATAAATAAATAAAAGCAGTCATGTAAGAAATAAAGAAGAGGCTTTAGGGATAAGAAAAGATTTAGATACATCCTTGTTTCATGATTATCATTTATATGACAAACTCATTTCCCATATGCATTGTCATAATATTGTCTTCATGTGAATTCATTTTGCTTCTACAACAAATCAAATTAAATCCATAAAAACTTGAGGCTCCGTAACTAATTTTGTTTGAGGTAAAGTAGTCAATGAGAGAAAAAAGACTTAGTCTCTAATCAATATGTTTATATAAATTTTCCCCTACTGTGCTGTTTATTTTGAGTTGCAAAGAGGATTATTCTACAGCTAAAATATTTATCATGTGAATGTTAATCTCTTCATTATCAACAGACAATCCAAATGTATGTATTTGGATTTCTTTTTAATTTACTTAAAACTTTACATTTTGTTCAGATGAGAGCTTCCTTCAGTGCCTTCACAGTGCACTTCCAACTCACACAGTGCTCAGCAATTTTTCATAGTATTGTACAATGACTTGAGTTGGGAACTTTAAAGATCCACTGCTCCCACCCCCTGCCATGGGCAGGGACATCTCCCACTAGAACACGTTGCTCCAAGCTCAACCCAACCTGGCCTGGAACGCTTCAATTTTAACGTGAGGAACTAAAATAAAAGCTCCCCAAGAGCCTCAATAGTATTCATTGAGGAGACCGGCAACAACATGTCATCACCACATTTCAGAGCGTGATGACAGCAAGTAAACTGGTTAATACTTTCCTGTGCTTTAAATCAGTGTTATAACAACATATTTTAGAGGTAAGTTTCTCCCTGGAGGATTTTTTCCTTCAATAACCCGTGCAAGCCATACAATCACCATCATGATTAATAAATGCTGATAGTAATTTTGTCTCTCCACACCCATTGTTTAGCTTGCTCCACTATTTTCAGTGGTACAACACAAGTGGACACTCCCTCTGTTCTCTAGGTAGGGCAGAGCAATCTGCACTTCCTTCCCCCACGTTGACCCACTGCTCACCGAAAGCCAACCAACTTCCCTAAGCAGACATTGTCTGCACCAAATTTAATTTACATTTACTTCTGCATGAACAATACCATGCAGATAGTCTCTATTGTATGGACATACAGGATTCTTCTGTAATCAGATGATTAAGAAATCCACAAATCTTGACAAGAAAATTACTTGGAGCATAAGTCCTTTTCCTCCGGGATGACAAGCAATGCCACAACGAGCTGTTCATTTCTGGCTATAAATAAAGCATTTCTTTAATCTAAGAAAAACACTAAGATGATGTTATGCAAACTCCCATCTCCTAAGTAGTCCCCAGAAGGGCAGACTGCCAATGTTAACAAGAAAATCTAATTTGCTTGCAAGGTATAAAGATTTGTCAAGAATATTAACATAAAAGCTTTTGTGGAAGAACAAGTGCAAAAATGGAAGCACTCTAATCTTTGTTCAGCAGAAAACTGACCTACTTAGATAAATCACAAGAGCCGCCCTTGAACTAATGCAGGAAAGAAGACACAACTGTAGCAATTGTTTTTCTCCTGTTTTTTTTTTTAAACACAAGGTAAGGAATGTTTTTGCTACTATAAATGAAGGGTTAAACCAGCTTAAAGCCATTGCTGATTATGACAGCAACGGTAGAACATCTTAGAGGCAGTGCACAGACATCCCCATCAAACACAGGAATTTTCTCCAAATCCATTTTAGCAGTATAGCACTGTAAAGACAACGTTTTTACTCCATTGTTTTTAAAGGGACTGGACTTACCTGTTGAAGTGGAATCTCATCATTAAAAACAAAAGAGGCAAATTAGCCATCTTTGGGATACTAACTTACTTTGTTACAGAAATTAAATGTATGCAGAGAGTCATCACTAAAGAACTGACACACAAACTTCAAGTTGGTCAATATTCTCCCACTGAAATCATAAATAGCATTTAGAAGGGGGAAGATCATCTAAAATTCATAACATAGCCTTAATATTTAGAAGGCATTTACCTTATTTCCTTTACTTGTCTAATGACCTCTTCTTGGGTTCTCACAACTGTTTCAATCTCTTGCTGGGAGACCTGGTGGGGGCAGGGGAAAGAAAAAGATTAACATATCTTGGAAAAAGCCAATCAGTCCTGCTGCTGAAATTAGTCTGGGCTATCTGTCAGCATGGTTTTTATTTACCTGTCCTTGCTGGCCTGGAACAACAGCTCCTCTTTTAGCAATCTCCTCTGTGACTGCAGACACGTATCTCCTCTGCTCATCCAGAACCATGTCCAATTGCCTATTAAGCTGTTTGATTTCAAGATGAATTCGATTCTGCCCCTCAAAGATTTGCCTCAGTTCACGATCACTTACAGTTTCAAACATATCCTCAGCTGATGAGAGAAAAGTACAGGTAGTTCTCACACATAGGCATTCCTCGTAAGCTGCACTGGATCATTTTTCCTGCTCCCTTAGTGTTTCCATGTGGATGTAACTTTGTCCCATCTGATATAACTGGTGTTCATTTTTCATCATTTCCATGGCAAAGGATGGGACCAGAACAACCACACAGAGATGACCCCACGTTCAAACCTATTTCAGTGCCTCAGGGACAGGTTGCTGTCCTCACTAGAAGGCACCTGTCTTTGCATGAGCCAGCATCTTCCTACCAACTCCCCTTCAACAGATTTGCAGGTGTTAAGCAACAGCTACTATTCAGAGAAAGTGAGCTTAAAAAAGCAGTTTGAAGTAGAGAAGTGACTGCATATTCTGAGCGAGTTCCTCTGCAGCTTCAACAACAGCACAAAGTTCAGAAGACTCCGTGGCAAAGAGATTATTATTTCTTATCAATGGAAGGCTGGACAAGGTTTCAAAAACACAAACGAAGATAAAATGGTGCAGGACCTTTAGAACAGTCATAACTGTGCAATAAAACAACCTGAAATTTCAGGTCTGGATGCCTTAAAGTACACTCTAGACGTGTGTGTTCAAATGCAGCTAACACAACCCACAGAAGGAAGATATGGCTTCCATTATACTTTCAAATAATCAGGTTCTCGTTTGCCCAGCACTAGGCAAGCATTAAAAACATTAAAAAGCTTTTCCAAGTAAGCATGTGTTCCAGCATATCGACTAACCAAACCCATCTTAATAACCAGCCATCAAACAAGATGGAAAAAATGGGGTTTATGAATGTGCAGAAACAGACCCAAAGATGCCCTTTCAAATAACCAAGAAGGCCAATGCTGCCTTAACCACCACTTTATGGAAAGATGCATGACCTCTTCTCCCTTTGGCTGCTCCACACACATGGCCACAATTCCCAGCATGTTTCCAGTCATTTGTTTTGTTCTCAACCCAGGCATGACCGAAAGACCAAAGATTCTTAAATAATGTAACTTCAGAGGGAGCTTAGGAACATCAGAGTATCAGGCCTAGTTCTGAACATCCCAGAAAACAAACATTTTCCTTGACAACTGAAAAATGGCTCAAATAACTTGCCTGGCTGTCCTTGTACGTCAGGATGTTCCTTTTGGAATTCTTCCTTCTTTTTATCCAATTCTTGTTGAAAGTGTTCAAACTCTTCTTGATACTTCTCTTTATCTTTCTGAGGGATTTCTGCATCTGGTGTTGGCTTTCAAACATTATTGGGGGAAGAGGGGTGTGTGTGAGATTTGTCTCGTTCTCCACCACTCCTATACAACTTAGCATCCAGACAAGCCATTCATGTTTTGGATTTGGACACATAACTCAGCACATCAATACATTCAGCTGAAGTGAGAAACCACACATTCCCATGGAGACCACAGCTTCTTCCCAACACACATGCACTTTCCATGATTGAAATGAAAACAAGTTTTACAAGCACAGATGTTCAGCAGTACAGAACCATTCTAGAGGAAGGGAAAGTTGAAAGCAAGAAGGGATATTTGCCCACTTTCCAAAGTACATTTCAGTTCATTTTCTGTGCCTGCTTTGATTTAACAACAGGATTTTTGTTGCTTCAGTGATGCTTCAAGAATTCTGGTCTCAAAAACACTAATTACAACATTAAGAAAACATTACAGTATTAGTTTCATTTTTCTAAAGCAGAC